ATGGTAAAAAGATAACACTTTCCTCCCAAAGTCCTAATATTCTGGGAAATTAAAGCACTCTTCTGAATTACCTTTTGTCATTAGAGGCAATCAAGACTGAAATAACAGATTATCTGGAAAAGAATGACGAGGTCATCCTTTTGTGCCACGACCTATGAAAGATATAAAGCTGTACCATGTTCTCTGACCATAAAAGTAAGTTAGAAATCAATAACGACAGAAAAAAAAAAAAAAAAGTCAGAAAAACCTCTTACATTTGGAAGAAAAGCATTCTAAGTATAGAAGCATTTATATCAGAATTAGAAAACATTTAGCTCCCGTAATAGTGAAAAGCTGTGTATCAACATATGTGTGAAGCATTTAAAGCTTTAAATGATTATATTAGACAAGAAAAATAGTTGAAGAAGCTAAAAGTATGCAATGTGAGAAGTCAGAAAAAAGAACAGCATTAAAACCCCAAAGAAAGTAGAGGAAATAAGAGTAGAAATTATTAAAACAGAAAACAAATATATAATAGAGAAGACCAACAAAGCCAACTGGTTTTTTGAAAAGCTGACTAAAACAGACAAATTGCTGGCAACACAGATTAAGAAATAAGAAAGGCATCAATAAATAATTGTTGGAATAAAAAAAGTCACAACTAGATAAACTGATAATATCTAAAAGATAATGAAAGGAACTATGAACAATTTTATGCAACACATTTGAGAAATTAGATGAAATGGATAAACATAACTCAAACCAAAGCCAACTGAAAATGAAATTGAAAGCCAGAATAATCCTGAAATCTTGAAGATATTAAATAAGCAAAGAAAACACCAGTCCCAGATAGTTTTAGCAGTGAGTTCTAACAGTCAAGGAATAAACACTTTGAAACTTAAGCTCTTCAAAGCTGGGAAGAGAAGGTACCGTATTTAACTCATTTTATGAGGAAATTATAGCCTTGATACCAAAATAAAATAATTATGGGAAACTGGTAGGCAATCTCACTCATGAACATGGATGCACAAATCCTAACAAAATATTAACAAATCCAATCTAGCAATGCATAAAAAAGACCAAGTTGTAAGCCAAAATAGTAAAGAAAAGAAATAAAGATAAACATATACACACAAACAGAAATTTTAAAAGACCAAGTTGGGATTATTTTAGGAATGTTAGTCTGGTCTAGTATGAGAATATCTATTCACATAATTCACCTTATTAACAAATTAAAAGATTAAAAACTATGAACGTCTAAAAACATTTTGAAAAAAGTTTTTTTAAAAAAACCCATCCGGCCGGGCGCGGTGGCTCACGCCTGTAATCTCAGCACTTTGGGAGGCCGAGGCGGGCGGATCACAAGGTCAGGAAATGGAGACCAACCTGGCTAACA